GCGAGAAACTATTCTGCGAGTAGTGGAAGGCCTTTGTGTAAAAGGGAAGGGGCTTCCCTTCGACTTAACTACGACATGAATCTCCCTTGTTCGGCACTTTCTTTGGGACTGACGACGACAACGACGACGACGACGACGACGACGACGACGACGACGACGACGACGACGACGACGACGGCGGCGGCGGCGGCGACGGCGACGACAGCGTCTTCCACACGGCGAAGGGTCGGAGGTATTTTGAGACCGTACTCCACCCCTTCCCCTTTACAATCACATATTCTCGACAAAGAGTAGGATCAGCCGTCCAATGAGGAGAAGGCTGACGCTGAGGCGGATGATCAGAATGATTCGAGAGAGGACGCCCACCCAGGTCTGGCCCGAGTCGTCGTCTGAGGCCATGCCGACCCGCTTGAGCTGACCTGGGGGTTCACGGCTGCCTCGGCGCTTGCTCCTAAGACCAGTTCGAGATGGTTTTAAGAGGGCCCCGAGACTGCCGAACTAGGGGGGCCTCTTTCGGGCCTCTTTTTTCCCCCGCAAGGCATGGAGCACAACCGTGCTAGCCGCAAGCTGCTGACAGTGTACGGGGTGGGGAATCGAGAAAACCAGCGAGCTTCGGAAAAACATCATGCTACGCTGGGTGCGTGCACAAGTCCGTGCAAGAAGTTCAAAGCATCCTCGAGAGCATCCTTTCGGGCCTCTTGGGGGTCTCTTGGGGCCTCTTGGGGGGGCATCCTGGGGGGCCTCGTCGGAACCTCGGGGCGCCTCGTCGAGGCCCTCTTGGGGCGAACTTAGGCCCAATGGCTCAAAATGGGAGGTCCCCAAGTCGCACACCTCTTGGGGCCCTCTTGAGCAAATTTGGGGAGCATGTTGGAGGTCTCTTGGACCATCTTGAGGCCCGCTTGGTTTTTCTGGGGGCTCTCTTGGGGCTCTCTTGGTCCGTCCTGGCCCATCTGGAGGCTTCAGCGGGAGCGAAAAGGCGAGAAGGTAAAATGATGTATCGAAAAATTGTGCTTGCACGAGTTCGGCCTCTTGGGGGGGTCCTCGGGGGGGTCTGGGGGCACTTGGAGCAATGTTGGGACATCCTGGGGCATCTTGGAGGTCGTCTTCGGCGAATTTGGCCACCTTGGCGGTCTCCTGGCGCCGTCCTGTCTTTTTGAAGCAGACATAATCCTCCTAGGGCTCCGAAAAGGACACACCGACACCTGGGGCGAATGTGGGTACCCAGGGGGGGGGGGGGGGGAGTTTTGCAGAAGTGCGCAAATCCATTAGCCTGGGGCCCCAGGCGACAATTATATCATAGGCTGGCGTCCCAGGCGTGAAACCCACAGGTCGGGCCTTCCGCAACGCCTAGGAAGGATACATGTATGTGTACACAAGCATAAGTATGTATACACATATACATACATGCATGCATGCATGCATGCATGCATGCATGCATGCATGCATACATACATACATACACATATACATACATGCATACATACATACATACACACATACATACATACATACATGCATACATACATACATACACACATACATACGTACATATATATATATACATACATATATGCATACATACAGCATAAATACATACATACATACATACATACATGCATGCATGCATACATACATACATACATACATACATACATACATACATACATATACATATGCATGCACACATACATACATGCATATATCTATACATGCATACATACGTACGTACATACATATATACGTACTTACCTGCATACATACATACATACATACATGCATGCATGTATGCATGCATGCATGCATGCATGCACATATAGATACATGGATCCAAACATGCATACGTACATATAGATCTAACCGTACAAATACACACACATATACCTACATGCATGCATGTATGCATACATACATGTATACATAAATACATACATACATGCATGCATGCATATATGCATGCATGCATACATGCATACATGCATACGTACATGCATACATACATTCATACCTGCATGCATACATGCATGCATACCTATATACATCTGAAAATATACGCATACAAACATGCAGACACGCATACATACACGCACATACATACATTCATGCATGCATGCATACATGCATACATGCTTGTATGCCCACACAAACATAGGTACATGTATGCATGCATGCATGTTTGCATGTATACATTCATACATGCAGGCATGCAGGCATGCAGGCATACATACATGCATACATACATGAAATCATACATACATACATACATACATGCATACATACACACATACATACATACATACATGCATGCATGCATGCATGCATGCATGCATACATGCGTGCATACACACACACACCTACAGACACGCAGACACATCTACATACGTACATACATTCATGTATACATACATGCATTCAGACATACAAATACACGTGCATGCATACATGCATGGGTGCATGCATGCGTTCATACATTAATACATGCATATATACATACATACACATATATATACATACAAACATACCAGAACCATCGCGCGCGCTTCGCGCGCGCGCTCAAGTTCTAGCTAGGCTTCACATGCTAACTCATGTAATATCATGTTGGTCGCTTATTGCGTCCAGGGACTCCCTTGGAGGCCCTGCGCAAGCCTCGGAATCGTATAGAAGGGGAAGTTCGGAAACGCAGAAATCATTAATTTGCTTTAGGTGTTCAACGATTTGGGACCCTCACAAGCTTCCTGGGCTCTTTTTTGGGAGGTGAGGGGGGTCTGAATTGTGGTCTGTTGTGCAAGAGTAGACCGGGGGCCAAACATGAAAAAACAAATAATTGTGGGATTCCCATTTCTTTCCAATTCCTCGGCGCTGTTCGGCGCTGTTTTTCGTTTTTGCCTCGCGGGTTTTGTTAGCCGGGCCCCTCAGGGGTGTGGGATCTTCTGGACCCCCTGGGGGTTCTGGAGGCCTCCTGGAGGCCTGGAGAGCCGTCGGAAGGGTGTCTCGGGCTGCGCGGGAGCGTCTTGGGCCGTTCTTCACGTTCTGGGGACTCCTTGGGGTTGTCTTGGGCTGTCCTTGGGCGTCTTGGGGGCCCCCAGGGAGGCCGGGAGGCGCGGTACCGGCCAGATGTCAGGGGATGTGTGGGATCTCAGAGTAGGAGTCCGACTTTGAAAAAAAATGAATTCTTGGAATTCCCTTCAAAAAAAGATCCTCGATCTTTGAGGATTGGAAACGGAACAACGTGAGAAGGCGGCAAAACATTAGAAAAACCATCGGAAATCAACAATTCTACCCTCTTTGGATTTTCTCGGGACGGCTCTCGCAGCTCTCTTGGGCTGTTCTTGGAGCCTCGTCGGGGTCTTTTTGGGGCCTCTCAGGGATCGGGGGTGTGTTGGGGGCCTCTGGGTGGTCCTGGAGGCCTCTCGGAGGTCTCTAGAAGCCTCCTGCTCCCGCTCTTGGGCCCATCTTGGGCCTGTTCTGGGGTGGTCTGGGGCTGTCCTGGGCGCCTCTTCGGCAGTCTTGGAGCCTTCTTGGCCCGTCTTGGGGCCGTCCTGAGGGTCTCTTGGGTGGTCTCGGGGCGGTCTTGGGAGCCTCCTCGGCGCTCTTTTACCCTTGGAGGCTCGAAACGCGAGAAGCCAAAAGCATGCCAAAAACGAATGACAATCGACGAGTTGGGCCTCTCTGGGCCCTCCAGGGGACGCCCCTCGGGCCTCTCTGGAGGTCGCCTCGAGAGCCGCCGGGAGGCTGGCTTGGGCTGCTTGGGAGCGTCTCGGACCAGCCTTTCGCACTCTGGGGGGCTCCTGGGAGGCGTCTTGGGCAATCCTGGGGAGCTGTGGAGGCTCCCCGAAAAAAGGCCGGGGGAGCGGTAAAAGGTGGCGTCCCCGAGGTGTCACGGGGGAGGCGTGGGGCCCGGGGCCGAGGGGGGGCAGGCTTTATCTGTATCATGTGGTATAGGCATGCATACACACATGCATGCAAACACATATGCACACATCTGCAAACATACCGACATACATACATACATACATACATACATACACACATACATACATACATACATACAAACATACATACATACATGCATCCATCCATCCATCCATCCATACATACATACATACATGCAGACAGACAGACAGACAGACAGACAGACAGACAGGCAGACAGACAGACAGACAGACATGCATACAGACGTCCATACATACGTACATCATACACTACCTACCTACCGACCTACCTACATACCTACCTACATGCATACATGCATACATGCATACATGCATACATGCATGCATGCATGCATGCGTGCATGCGTGCATGCATGCATATATACCTATATATATATATATATAAGTACATACATACATACATACATACATACATACATGCATGCATGCATGCATGCATGCATGCATACATACATACATACATACATACATACGTGCATGCATACATACATGCATGCGTGCATACATGCACACACATACATACATGCAACGCACACGCAGGTGCTGACAATATGCGTGAATCTTTTATTCCAAGACCTTCTCGCTGCAAAGGATAAGTTATGCTAGCTGGTAGCGTAGGCAAAAGGGGGCCCCCTCAGCCAATATGTTTACGGGCAGAGGGGTGAGAGCATGCAACAGCAATAGCAGGGACCAGCATTATCAGATAAACAGAATGACTATTGCACTCCTGGAGTTCTCTCTGGTCCTGCTCTGAAACTCGGAATGCGGCCTGGCTATACAACGGGCTTGTTTGCAGCACGGACTCGGATTAGCACGAAATAAAACAGTAACTGAATTCTTTGAGCGGCCAAGGATCGGCAGCTGAAATCAATAAACCGAAACTCGATACGGCATCCGGAATCGGTTATATCTTGGGCAAAACCAAGCGGATTGGAATGAAACGCGACTCCCGGCACGTGTAAGTGAAAAATCAAACTCGCAATATCTTGGGCGAAACCAAGCGGATGGGAGTGAAACGCGACTCCCGGCACGTGCAAGTAAAAAATCAAATCACTTCTTCTGTACTTGGCCATCCCCACCGGTCAGCTCCTCGCAAGCAATCGACTCCACGAGCGAAAGCACTGGGTCCGCCAAGAACTCGGTCAGATTCTCGCGAAGCTTCGGATCCTCCTTGGTCATGCCGTCGGCTATCATGTGCGTCGTAGGGATCCATCTGACGTTCTTGAACCTCGTCACGAATGGAAATCACGTCGATCACAGTACGTTTCTCAGACAAACTCGGGGTGAGCTGGTGGAGGGCATCGTACAGAGACTTGCAGTCGGTAGCGGTGATAACCTCGAAGATCGGTGGGTGTCGGCCAGCAGGCCGTCCGGTCAACATCTCGGACAGGAACTTCGACAAGTACGACGCGTAGTCCACTCCCAGGTCCTGCGCGATAGCTTCCCCAGCCAGCGTAGATCTCACCACTCTCGGCGTTCTCTTGGACTTGTGAAACAAGAGAGTACATGACGTGGGTCCGGTGAGTATCACCTCGTCTGCCAAAAAGATGAGGGCGCCGATCTGGGTCTTCAATCCTGGAGCGTTCGCCCATGAGCTGTCTGCAAAACTCACGAAGCAGGCGCGGCTCAAATCGACGCGGACGATCAGGATGCCAGTCTGGGCTGTGCGGTGCGCGTACTCTACGCGCTTCATGGCCATCCGTAGGTCGTTCAGCTCGGGGTCGGTCCTCTGGACAAGGGAAACCGCGGCTGACAGGTCTGGACGTGTGTGTCCGGACAACCACTGGAGCGAACCGACAGCAGACTCCAGATCTTCGCGCTCCGAGCGCGTCAGCTTAGAAGAAGACCGAGTGCTGGACATAACTCCAACCTTCGTGACTGCAATCGCCTTAGTGTAGGCCGCTTGATGAACAAACAAACTTCCACTGTACGGACCTTGACGTAGGCGCTGGTACTCCTCGCCGAGGAAGACGAAGTTGTCCCACAGCCAGCCTCGCCATTTAATAGCCTTCTCGATCGGTGTGAAGTCGAACTTGGGATGGTGTGCCGCAAGAGCATCGTCCACGTGCATGCCCACTGCGCAAGCCAACTCATTGTTCGGAAAAAAAAAAAAAAAAACACAAGAAGAGAGCTGAATCGAGGCTGTGGAGCTTGCTGCCCAGCGCCAGGAAGGTCGTCACCACGTGCTTGTACCACAGGTACGGCGCCGTCGACTGACCGTACAGGTTGCCAACCACCTCGTAGAGCGGGGCGGTGAAGACTCCGGCGGCTTGAACTATCGGGTCCTTGGGCGGAATCATGTAGATCGCCTCCTCGCGCTCACTCTGTGCGCCTCCCTGGAGAAAGGCGCTCTCCGCGTCTCCGGTCCCGACTCGCCAGTCATTCGAGACCGCGATCTGGCAGATCAGCTTCTTGCCGGCGTCGGTCAGCACCGGGGCGTTACGCGGCAACTTCTCCAGGTCGGGGTCGGAGAACCCCAGCAACACCGGGCGAGCCTTGGCCTTCAACGGCGGAAACCCCAAGTTCTTGTCCCGGTAGCACACGCGCGAGCGGATGCACCGTTTGCGGCGACGAGGGTCACGACGAACTTGTTCGGCCTCCTCCTGCGAGCAGGCCCGAACGGACTTCCAGGTGTCCCAGTTCTGGCACTCCTTGCGCAAGGCCTTGACGTACTCCATGAACTGGTCCTCCGGGTACTCTGCGATCTCCCGCCAGGGGATTTCACGATCCAGTTGACGCTGCTCGCGTCTCGACAGGTTGTTCGAGTCCGTCGTGTCGCCCACCTGTGCTGTCGCACAGTCCACGTCCATCTCGCCGTCCCTGAGGTCGGAGAGCTCGTGGGAGGTCATGTACAGGCAGTTTGTCCAGTCGTCGTCCGGCTCGCTGTCGTCGATCGGGTCGTTCTCGAAGTTCTCGATGGGCAAGAGGTGCGCCTCGTAGGCCTCCTGGACCTCCGCCAGGCTCGAGAACACGCGGGTCCTGAGCAAGACCGGCTCCTCGACTCCGTCCCAGCCATCCGGTGTGATGAACTCCATCTCGCCCGACTCGTTGGACACGAAGGCTGCTGGGCTCGGTGAGCCCGGTATGTTAGGAAGCTTTCCTGGTCGGGATTTCTTCTCCGGTGGTGGTGCGATAACCGTCGAAGGTGCCGAACCGCTCGATGGTGGTCGAGCTGCGGACGACTCGCGGGCATGAGGTGCTGATCTCCTCGGCGCGGGCGTCGCAGAGCGCTCTCGTGCTCGGACTGGTCCAAACTGAGGCGGTGCTGGCCACGGAAAGGGCGCAGCGGGCTCTGGAGCTTCGCCTTCAGCTCGACGCTGGGCTCGACGCCGGGTACCGCTCTGGCCTGTCGGCGTCGGAGGCTCCGAGGCGTCGGCAAGTTGAGGAAGTTCAGCATCTGGCGCAGCTTCAGGGGCGTCGTCGGCTGACGCGCTCCTGAAGTTCTCTTTGGTAGCGTTGTCTCCCAGAGAGGCCTGCGCGGGCTCCTCCAGGATGGGCTCGAGCGGGGCTGCCGGAAGAGGTCCCGGCAGCACTCGTGCTTGCGGATCTTCTGGTTCGGGTTGTTGTTCAGGAGGGCCCTCAATGGTGATGTTCGAAGCGTCGCCCTGGCCGGCCTTCGCCAAGTCCTGCTCGGCCGTCTTGAGCTCCTTGAGGTCCTCCTCGGAAGGGGTCCAGCCCTCGAAACCGACGGCTGGGCGCATGTGTTCGCGGGCCACCTGCACAGTGCGGTGCCCGTTCCGCAGCCAGGCAGACTCGCCCTCGCCGTAGCCGTTGGTGCCGGAATCCCAGAAACAGAAAATGCCTGGGCGATACCCTGCCACGGGCGTCTTGCCCCGTCGCTTGCGACCATGCTCGCCCCAGGCTGCCACGCGCTGCCCCGAGAGGAAGTCGCACTCCTTGCGGTTGACAGGCTGGCGGAGGATGGAGGTGCGCAGCGCCTGGTCGGCCTCCAGGTCGGCGATCGCCTTGAGCGCCTCAATGCGGCATCTCTCCCCGTAGGCCAACATCTCATCCTGGGTGCAATTGTGCCAGAACTCGGCGGACGTGGTGTCGGCCAAGAGCTCGGTCGGAAGTGCGGGTGCCCGTCCGAAGGCGGCGGCATAGGCGGTGCGGCCTGCTCGGCGCACTGACTGGTTTACGGCGTGGCTCGTCGAGATGATCGCGAGGTCCACGTGCTCTGGCATCGTCGGCAGGATGACGTCGATCACCTTCTCGAAGACTCGGCGCCAGGCGTAGTTGCCGGATTCGGCCAGGCCCAGCTGCCAGTGAGCTCCCGGCGGCACGTACCTCACGTCGATTCCCAACGTGTGGCAGTTGTCCATGAACACGGCTTCGAAGGCACCGTCCCGGTCGACAACCAGAATCTGCATGATCCCGAACGGGGTGAGCCAGCACGTCTGGAACTTCTCCCAGACGTCTCCTGGTTCGCGTGAAGCAATCCGACACACCACATGTAGTCTCGTAGCTTTGTCCACCAGTCCCAAGAGTGCGTGCGTCGTACCGTCGTGGGTCATGACGTAGAACAAGTCGCCCTTGACTAAGTCGTTGAACAGACCCACTCTTGGAATCTGTGACTCCCGCTGTCGCTGAGGCCGTTTGCGACGAAGGCACGCCGGGCACCTCAGCGCTCTGGCGCACAGCAGCGTGGCCTGCGAGGCGCCTCTCTGAGCCAGGAACTGGAAGAACTCGCTGGGCACAGGATGTCCCAAGTTACAGTGCATACGAGCGACAAGCTGGCGAACTTCACGAGGACACTGCTCCTTTGTCACTCCAACAAAACGTATGCCAGCCATACCTCCGGACGCGTCAGGCATCCGAGCGATCGGGACGTCCTGCAGGTCGTCGTCCTCGTCGGGCGGCAGGCTGTTGTTCGGCAGCATCGGGTCGTTCGGGTCCGGGGGAAGCGGCATTCGCTTCTCTATCTGTGACGTGTCAGGCTCCTGCGGGAGGGACTCCTGCTTGGCATAGCCGAAGAAGAAAACGGCTAGGTCCGCTGGCGGCGACAAGGCCAACGTCGGGAAGGCCACGTCAACCAGGTCCTCGGCTTCGATGTGGTAATGGCCCTTCTCGTCCACGTAGCAGTGACCACGGTGAGACCACGGCTCCTTGTTGATGGGGAACCTCCTTTGTTTGGCTGTCTTCGCGAGCTGGATCATCGTGAGGTCCCACGGGACGAGCTGGCTAATCTGTCTCCAGAGCGCGGATGACTTCGAAAGGTAATGCATGGCCTTGTTCCCGCCTCGGCTGGCGGAGCCGCCCACGATCTGTCGGACGCCCTGCATGACCGCCTCCCACCTGGTGGGGTCCTTCTCTGGCGAGGCGAACAACACCTCGATGGGACCTGCGTGGTTGTAGGCGACCTCCCACTCGGTAGCCGCGACCGGCATGTCGGCGAACCTGCTCGGATTCCTCTGGGCGGCGACCTGCTGGATCGCGTGGAGCATCGCGTGGGCCATCTCGTCGGTGTACTCGCCGCTGGCCTCTGCCCACTTCGAGTTCTCGATCTGATCGTGCAAGTGGCCCCCGGACTCCGGACGAAGTCCTGGGCAGCGGCGGCTCAGAGCCGCAAGCACGGGCGGCGAGTTGGAGAACCAGCGATACGCCTTGCGAATCGGCAGGCCAGTCTTGCCTGTCTTCCCGTATATGGCACCCATGGCCAATAACGGTCTCGCCCAAGGGCAGGAGCGGGGCGAACTGGAGGTCCTTCCAGATCGCTGACGTCGGCGGGTTCTCGAACAAGAAGAACCGGCCATGCTTCACCTGGTACTTGACGGCCCCCTTGATCAAGTCAATCAGCCGTCGATCCCGGGCACGAAGTCTCTCAAGCAGCTCGGGATGGTCGACGTAATTCACATTGACGTTGTAGGAGCACCAGAGCGTGCAGGGGAAGCCTACGATCACGTAGAGGGGCTTGTCTTTCTGTATCTGATCTTTCCATCTCTGAGCACCTCGCGTAGTTGACAAGTCCCAGCCGTCCTCTATGTCGGCGCTCGGCGAGGCCCTCAGCTCAAAGCGTGAAGCTAATCGCGTAGGTCTTGCTGTCCCGGCGCAGCCCTCGATGAGGTCGGTGTCGCACGCCTGGCACTCGTTGTCCAGGTACAGGTGGTCGGGCAACTCGGGAACGGGAATGTCCATGAAGGCCACGTCCGAACAGCACCATTCCGCGTCTCGTAAATCGGCAGCTCGGCGATCGGCATCTTGACTCACGTTAATAAGCGTCTCGCAGGCTGCGGTCGTCTTCTTAGCAATGCCGAGAAGGCGCTTCCAGGCGCCTCTCTTCACCATCTCGGTCCCCGACGCGGGGGAGGCTGGCGCGGAAGCTTGTCCCATCCCTGGTCCGTCTCCTCGCCCCCGGAGGCCCTGTCCATGTTCTCGTCGTCCTCCTCGTCCGTCGGAACCGCCTGCTCCGAGGGTGACCTTGGCTCCGCCTTGGTCCGCGTACGACCCTGGCTCGAGCTCGCCGAAGACCTGACCGGGCGTTTCGGCATTGTTGAAGCAGCTGGCCGAGAGCGCGAGGAGGAACCCAGTGACTTTGTCGAGGTAGGTACGCGAAGAGGATCTTCTTTGTCGTCCACGATCCACTTCCCGTTGACCGACTTCCACCGCCGGCCGCACTGGTCGCAGATCAGCCAGTACCCCTTGGCGTAGTACCTCCTCGTTGTCGGATGGGCGCACACGTCCCTCTTCTCGCACAGCTGTGAGTAGTTCTGGGCTTGATCCTCTGGTGCCGGCGGCGGTGGCAGCACGCTCTCCGGAACCTGTGCGGCTCCTCTCGCGATCGCCTTCACTGAGTCCGCCATCGGTGTCAGGTAGCCCATCTCGCGGCCCATCTGCGCGATCGTGCCCATCATCCGGTTCGACATCTCCATGTTCTGCCGGAACTGCTCGCGACTGCGACCGATGATGTGCGACAGGTGGTTCATGATCAGCTGCATCAGGTTCGCCCACGCGTTGATCGCCAGGTTCTGCCTCGTCAGCTGGACTGTGCGACGAGACGACCGGGCCTCCTGCGACTCCGACTTGACCGACTTCATTCACCGACAGACCGAGGATGCTCTCGAACACGGGTGTGGCGTCGGTCAGGTTACAGCCGTCTGGCACGGAGGGCAGGACTTCGCGAGGCTGAAGCAGCCCGCGGTGAGTATATGTAAGAGCACACAGTGCTGCGCGTGAAAACTGCATAGGCTGAGACTCGGCTTGAGCACAACTATCTCCGGAAACACAGGCTGGTGCCTCTGGGATCCACTGGGGCTCCGGGATGATGACGTCCGAGGGGGTGAACTTCCAGGCCTCGGGCTCCCTTGGGAACCCCACATCCTTCAACCAAGAGTCGACTCTCAGAAGCAAGTGGCCATTCGGGGCAATCTTCAGGGGCACGTCGCACAGGTTGATCTTGGTGAAATGAGCCCTTTCCCCCAAGGTGTCCAGCTGGAGGCCCAAGAGCTTCCACATCGGTAACGATCCCAAGAAAGGCAACTTAGGGTTCACGTCCAAGACTGAGGTACGGCAAACCAGGGGCACCACATGTTCAAGACATATCGGGAAATACACCACAGATTTGCTCACCGCACGACTGACTCCAAACCGAAACCTCTCTTGCTCCTCAGCTCCCCAGAAACTCAATCCCAGGTAGGCGATATGTTCCAGAAACTTTCCCAAACACTCGTAGCCCACAACGTTGCGCTGGCAACCTGTGTCGATGACAATGTAGAAACCCTGGGAATCCTCGAGGAAGCAAACGTCCAAGGGCGTCTGGACATGCCAGATGACGTCGACCTGATGCGATGATTTTGTCCCGCTTCTCGCCGCCTGAGCTCCGCGAGAATCCACGGAAAACTGACGCACTTCTGGCGCTGCCTGAAATCGAACGCGAGAGGCCCCCTTGTCGCTGGTGGCGACCCTGCTCTTGAAGGCGGCCACGCGCTGCTGCAGCTCGTCAGGCGAGAGGTGCGCGACTAAGGCCTCGTGCTCTACCGCGTCGGCGGCGTACAACTCATCGTCTTCATCGGCGGGTTCGTCCTGATCAATCGAGGCATCATGAACGGCGCGAGCTCGATCGCGTTTATCCTTGTAGCCGGTCCTCGATGACGTCTGGCGTAACCCTGGCCTCTGAGATGCCGCCAGTGCTCTTGAATCTCCGGATCGATCTCCCGTAAACGCTCCACGAATGCTTCCTGAAAAAGACGTGCCGGCCGGCGGCGTCGCAGTGCCTCTCTGTGGCGGCGCTGACGATGTCTGCGGCGACCTGCCGGGCGGCGCTGGGGACGGCCGGCCCGCAGGGGCGGCGGCACCACCGGAGGGCGCTGACCGCGGTGGCGGGCGTCGGTCTCCAGGCTTCGGCGGCGAGGACCTTCCGGTCCACCCGCGGCCCAAGGTCAGCTTCTTCAACTTGTCGCTTGTGACGGTCAAAGCGTCCGCCACCTCCTGCATGACCTGGATGCTGTCAACCTCCTCGGCGTAAGCCTCATTTACTTCTGCTTGATCGGGGTCATCTTCATCTTCGTTTTCCTCAGCCTCGTCCTCGGGAATAATGTCGGCCTCGCTGACGTGGGGCGGCTTCGGCGCTGGTCGAGGAGCTCGACTCCGTGGCTGTCGATCTCGTCCTTTGCCGCCTCCTTTGTCGTGATCTCGACCAGCCGGCCTGCGTTCAGGAGCGGCCGCCTCACCGAGTCGCTTGCGTGCCATCCGTCGTACTGGAGCGACCCAGTTCGGGGCGGTGGACGGCCACTGCACACTCATAGCCTGAACGAGGCGGTCGAAGTCATACTCATTGCCCGTCGCGAGGAGGAGGTTGCGCCGAACCTCCGGCGATAAACATGAACTTCGCAACAACTTGAATGCACGAAATTGTCCTTGCTGAGCTGGAAGCTCTGCCCGCTTGAGCCGCATCTCGAGATCCTTGAAATGCGCGACGTACGCGGCCAGCAGCTCACCGGGCAGGCGCTCCACTTCTTCGTACTCTTCCATGAGGTCTCCAACCTGTAGGATCTGCTGCTCGTCAAACACGGCGAGTGAGTTGATCACCAAATCAATACCATCTTGTGAATACAAACGGGCCCATTTCAAAGACTCGATCATTTCTGCGCCCTCGCCCGTGATGACGTCCGAAAGGTCCAGGGCCAGCTCGGCCATCGGCTTGTAGTGTCGCGCCCTGGCCTTCCACATGTGCACTTTCCTAACCCACTTCTGGTAGTATCTCGGCTGCTTGTATATATTCTGAAGCCGGGCCTCGAGTGGAGGTGGGGCTGGGCACGGTCCTCCGCGCCACTTCTTGCGATCACCGCGGGTGCGTCGAAACTCCGCCGAGCTCGGTGGAATCTCCGACTCCTCGTCGTCGTCCTCGGCCCAGTCCTCTCCAGCCCACTCGTCGGCCCATTCCTCTTCGTAGGTCTCATCGTCGGGCGTAGCCGCTGCCGCGGCTCCATCTCGAGGGTGCTTGCCCCTGTATCGACGATCTCCGTACTTCTTCGGTGCGGCGGCACCGCGAGAACCAGCGGCAGCAGCAGGCCTCCGGTCAGCCATCGTGCGAGATGTCATATCCGTCGTGATCCGTCCGACTGCACGGGAGTGTCCGGGAAGAAACTGTCTGATGCCGAAAGGGTTCTCCCTGCGAGGGAGCTCGGAATACACGCTCCGCTGCCAATGCAACGCACACGCAGGTGCTGACAATATGCGTGAATCTTTTATTCCAAGACCTTCTCGCTGCAAAGGATAAGTTATGCTAGCTGGTAGCGTAGGCAAAAGGGGGCCCCCTCAGCCAATATGTTTACGGGCAGAGGGGTGAGAGCATGCAACAGCAATAGCAGGGACCAGCATTATCAGATAAACAGAATGACTATTGCAATACATACATACATACATACATACATACATACATACATACATACATACATACATGCGTACGTACGTACGTACGTACATACATACACACATACATACACACATACCTACGTAAATGCATACGTACAGTTAGACAGACGGACGGACGGACGGACGGACAGACAGGCATACATGCATACATGCATACACGCATGAATGCAAGCATACGTACATACATACAGACATGCATACATACATATATGCATACACATATATACATATATACATGCATACCTACATGCACACCCGTGCATACATGCATGCATGTGTCCATGCACGCATGCACGCATATGCATATATGCATGCATGCATACATACACCGAAATGCATGCATACACCTATACATACATACACACATACAAACAGACAGAGAAACAGTCAGACAAGCATAAACGTAACATACATACATGCATGCATGTATGCATGCATACATACATACATGCATGCATGCATGCATGCATACATACATACATACGTTCATACATACATACATGCATGCGTGCATACATACACACACATACATACATACATACATACATACATACATACATACATACATACATACATACATACATTACATTACATTACATTACATTACATTACATACATACATACATACATACATACATACATACATACATACATACAAACATACATACATACATACATGCATGCGTACGTACGTACATACGTACACACATACATACACACATACCTACATAAATGCATACGTACAGTTAGACAGACGGACGGACGGACGGACAGACAGGCATACATACATACATGCATACACGCATGAATGCAAGCATACGTACATACATACAGACATTCATACATACATACATGCATATACATATATACATACATATACGTGCATACCTACATACACACCCGTGCATACATGCATGCATGTATCCACGCACGCATGCACGCATATGCATATATGCATGCATGCATACATACACCGAAATGCATGCATACATCTATACATACATACACACGTACAAACAGACAGAGAAACAGTCAGACAAGCATAAACGTAACATACATACATGCATGCATGCATGCATGCATACATACATACATGCAGGCATGCATCCATACAGACAGACAGACAGCATGCATACAAATGCACATGCACAAATGCATCTATCCGCCACCGTGCTCTGGGCACGGAGTGTCTGTGTTCGGCAGTCCTCTGCATAACCCCTAAAACCTCAACCCAAAAGCCTCAGCCCTCGCTCCCGAGGAGTCCCGTAAGGGCCCGGACCCCATATTCTCAATTTTGGCGGAGCTTCACGCGGCTTCCCTGGGCTCTGGCGAGTGGTGGCGCGCAACTCCCAACCATCCTGTGGTGCCGGGTCCTCGTTCTGAAGAGACAGCGCCCCGCGTCCCACCTCCTCTCCTCTCCTCTCCTCCTCTTCCCCCTTCTCCTCCTCCCTTGTCCTCCTTTCTCCTCCTAGATGTGCCTCTGCCCTCCGCACCAGTCAACCATGTTGAAACTCTCGTCACACGTGTCGTGTCCCCATAACGAGCTCCACCGAAGGCCCAAACACCAGTGCTCGCATGCGCCCACCGCACCCATTTGGGCACACGCCTCGCACGTTTGATGGCCCCATACGGAGCTCCACCGAAGGCCCAGATGCCAGCGTTCGCATGCGCCCACCGCACCCATTCTGGCACACCCTTACCACGCTTCGTGGACCCATAAGGAATTTCCCCGAAGGCCCAAACGCCAGCTATGCCAGCGCTCGCATGCCCACCGCTCCCATTTTGGCACACGCCTCACACGTTTTATGGCCCCATACGGAGCCCCCCAGAAGGCCCAAATGCCAGCGCTCGCGTGCGCCCACGGCGCCCATTTGGGCACACGCCTCACACGTCTCGTGGCCACATAGGGAGCTCCACCGAAGGCCCGAATGCCAGCGCTCGCATGCACCCACCGCACCCGTTTTGGCACACGCCTTACACGTCTCGTGGCCCCATAGGGAGCCCCACCGAAGGCCCTAATTCCAGCGCTCACATGCGCACACCTCACCCATTTTGGCACACCTCTCACACGCTTCGTGGTCCCATAGGGAGCTCCTCCGAAGTCCCAAATGCCAGCGCTCACATGCGCACACCTCACCCACGGTGGCACATTCCTCACACGCTTCGTGGCCTCACAGGGGGCTCCACCGAAGGCTCAAATGCCAGCGCTCGCATGCGCCCACCGCGCCCATGTCGGCACACCCCTCACACGTCCCGTGGGCCCATAGGGAGTTCCCCCGAATGCCCAAACGCCAGCCCTCGCATGCGCCCACCGCACCCATTGTGGCACACCCCTCACACGTTTCGTGGCACCACCGGGAATTGCCCCGAAGGCCCAAATGCCAGCGCTCGCATGCGTCCACCGCGCCCAGTTTTGGACACCCCTCGCATGCTTCGTGGCCCAGCAGGGAGCTCCACCAAAAGCCCAAATGCCAGCGCTCGCATGCGCCCACCGCACCCATGTCAGCACACCCCTCACACGCTTCGCGGCCCCATAGGAAGCTACACCGAATGCGGTGTATACAACGACGGTACCCACAACTGCATATGGCTGGGTCCTTCGCCAGGCGAATTTGTTCCTGCCCAGGAGGGCCCAAAGACGGGCCAAGAGGGCTCCAAGAGGCCCCAAGACGGCCCAAGAAGGCCCCGAGTCGCCGAATCATCGCCCCAAGACGCGCAAGTTGGCCTCAAGATGGCCCAAGAGGCCGCTAAGACGCCCAAAGAACCCTCCAAGAGGCCTCTCAAGAGGGCCCCAAGAGGCACAAAACATTGATCGTCCTTCGGTTGTTGAACGGATGTTGGCGTTCTCGCCTATTCGGCTTCCAAACGCCCCAAGACAGCCCAGGAAGCCCAAGACCACACCAAAACGGCCCAAGAGGCCCTCGAGAGGGCCCCAAGACGGCCTAAGAGCGCCCAAGACGGCCCAAACGGCGCCCAAGACGGCCCACGAGAGCCCCACGACGGCCCCAGAAGGGGCCCAAGAGAGGGAACACGAACCGAAAATCCTAGCATTTCGCCCCAAGAGGCCCCCAGGAGGCCCCAGGAGGCGCCCAGGAGGCCCCAACAGGCCCCCAAAAGACTTCCAAAGGCCCCAAGAGGCCCCCAAGAGACCCAAAGGAGGCCCCAAGAGGCTTCGAAACGGCCCCCAAGAGGCCTCAAAACGGCACCCAAGAGGCCTCCAAACTGGCTCCAAGAGGACCCCGAGAGACCTCCCACGAGATCCCAACGAACATCCAATAAGCCTCATACCCACATACCAAGCACTGTAACGGGATTGGCCGATGGTTACCATCTATATGTATATACATGCATACATGTGTGTGTGTGCAAATGTATATGTGCATGTCTGTATGAATGTATGTACGTATGTATGTATATATATGGGGGTGTATGAGTGTATGAATGTGTGTATGTGCGGGAGTACGCATGTATGCGTGCGTATATTATGTACATATGTATATGTGTGTATATGTATGAGTATAGGTATATGTAAAGGGTTATATATATATATATGTATGTATGCGTATGTATATGTATATGTGTATAGATACATGCATGCATATATATGTATATATATACATATATATTCGCATATGTAAAGGTATACGTATAACATACGTATACGTATATACATGTGTAGATACATGTGCATGTACATGTGTACATGTTTACGTGCGTCTATGTATACGTATGTGCTTGCGTGTATGTACATTCATGTGTAGATGCATGCATATATGAAGTTGTACGCGTATGCGTATATGCATAGTCTACGCATGGGAGTATGTAAAATGTATCGTAGATGAGTATGTACATGCATATGGAAATGGATATGTACATGTATTTAGATACGTCTAGATGCATGAGTATATGAATGTGCAGATGTATACGTGTTGCTCTGAGTATATGTATGTATATACGTATGTATAAATGTGATGCATATCTAGATGAATATGTAAGTGTATATGTATAAGAAAAATACAAACAGGCGTATGCATATACGTCTGACTCTACGTATGCACATGCGCGAACATATACATATACCTATGCATATGTATATGCATATGCCTATACATATACATATACACATATCTATACATATACATACATACATACATACATACATACATACATACATACATAGTTACATAAGTACATGATAAATACGCATGTACATCTTCATGTATACAGCTGCACACATATACATGTTTGTGCGCGTGTCTGGGCAATTCGGGTACCGTACTTCCATTTTCTACAAAAGAGCTCACCAAACTTAAGCTCAACAGACACAGCACCGCTAATCTCAATGGAAGTAAGACTGGCACGACCTCACTGGCCCGCACTGGCCCGCATCAGGGTGAATCTTCAGGCATCCCAGATCCAAACCGAGGAAATGCAGAGAGCTGTCCAGCGACGCCATCATCAAAATGCTCAGCTCTGCTGCCAGGTGGGCCCAAACGATTCCTGATTGAACACGATACTCGTAGGGTCGAAACTGCCCTCTGAAACTCCCCTCGTATACTCTGGCTCCTCGCCCAAAGTTGCCAGATTGGTGACGCTTGGATCTGCCGAGGCACCAAGCGCGGGCGATGAGGCGCCCGAGCTCATGTCCTCGACCGAGCTGGAGCGCGAGCCGCCACAGAGTGCCAGGTTGGTCCTGCTTGCATGCGGCGAGGACAGCGGAGTACCCACCTGCTGCAGGCGCTCTAGCTCCGACTCGTGCACTCGCAGCGCGTCCATCTCAGCCTTCTCCATGGTTGCGAGCCTTATAGCGTTCATGGCGCGCTGCTCCGGGCCAGGGCGTATTAAGTCGAGGATCGAGGCATGAGCTCGCCACCACTGCTTGAGGATAGAACGCTTGCTATCGGCTGCATTCAGTGGCAAAGGTCCATTGTTGAGTCTCCGCCGCATGTCATGAATGACATCATACCTGCGTCGCACTGCCGGCTGGCATACTGTGATGGATTCGCAGAAGAGGTTGTCCAGAGTGGACTGCGTCACTATGAGGCGCAGCGCTGAAGATGCCAGGCCCTTTGAGCATAGCACTTGTTCAATGACATCCTGGCGGCGGAAGCGGAGTAAGAGGGCGCCTCTCTTGGCAAACTCTGCTGATGCGGATCTCCGCAAGTGTCCACTCCTTGACCTGGCCAGCAGTCCAGAGGCTCGACGCACGGCTGTGCCAGCGCTGCCAAGCACTGGCGAAGCCAAAACTGATGGACTCGGTGATGGTGACCTCGGAGAAGTGGAGCCATCGCTTTCAAGCGGGACATGCAAAGAAAATGTGCTGGCCGAGGACACTCTGATGTCTAAAGGTCCCAGTTGCATGGCAAGAGCTGCGGTGGGTTGTCCCAAGAAACCTAGTAGGTTCAAGGCATCGACAAAGGATCCAGGGCGTGCCATAAAGTTACGATTACCTTCTTTGTAATGCGTTTTACAGTCCAAGCACCCATCTACTACATAGTAATAGACATCGCCATAATTTGTTTGTTCATCGACAACACCAGCTTCATCTACCGACGAAAACATGGGTACACTCGATCCAGGGAGGAGCTCCACCCATTCACCGCAATCTAACACTTTTTTGAAGTCACTGCGTGGGATCCCAGAGCGGCGGAACCAGTCACGCCAAATGGCTTCAGCCATGTGAGTCATGCTACCACAGTCGAACTCAATGTCTGAATCTCTGTATGCCAGCTGCCGACACAGGGGAACTGCAGCCACGAGAATGCAGAAACCACACCAAAAGAAGGCATCTAGATGGAAGGCTGCCCTTTCATTTATCAAGTGAGGCCATGCAGGTGCCCCACAAACAGTCCACACAAAAATCAGAACCTGTGCAAGAATCAAAGATATTCGAATAAAGACGGTATCTCCAAATATACCCGCATAGAGGAAGAAGAACTCAGCCGCGTGGTAGACTGGGCCGTTTGATGGTGCGATAATCATGAGGCCTAGACAAAACTGTAACGACTCCGCCCTTGGACCGAGAAAGTCTGGCAGGAGCACAGAAGGCGTGAGTTGACAAAAGCTCCGAAAGGGCCTGCCATCTGCGTACTTGTCCAATACAGGCACGGGACCCCAACATCATGCCATGTGTCCCCACACACAGGAAATCACAGATTCCATGATCACGAACGTACAGCGCGTCCCTCCAAAGATTGCTTCGGAGGACCCCCAGGGCTGCTCTAGCCGCCAACCCCCTCCTCTGAAGGGGCCACTCGGCTGTGAGCTCAACTCGGGCTGCGCACGGTGCTCCCCCAAGTCCCCCGGGCCCTCCTCCTCCTCCAGAGCAGGAGAACGAGCAGCAGAAAACCAGACGGGCGGGTCGGGCGGGCGGACACCAACAGGCAGGTTGGGCGGGCGGGCCCAGACGGCCGGGTGGAGCGGGCAGGTCGCTGAAGCGTCTGTCGTGCATGAATCGCAATGAAGTCTCGCGCGAGAGCGCGATCCTCAAAGTCCAGAGCGAGGGCATGATTTCTGGGTCTCGAGGGCGCGGCGTCTTACTAGATTGAAAGAAGTTCCCAGGCGTGAGCGCGATTCTTTGGCAATGGCAAGAAAAAGTCCCGAGCTGAAGGGCGATTCTTCAATAAACGTTGAGGGAATATCGGGCGGGTGCCGTTGTTGTTGTAGCTCGGGGGCCAGCATCCCTGTCTGAGGACCAAGACTTCCCCTTTATTAGAAACAGGGTGCGAGACCTGGGGGGGCACTTCAATTGAAAAAATGAGAACAAGAGGGGGGATCAACAATAATGATGTCACGATGTGCTTACTGTCGGACCTAGGCAAGAAGAACATCCCTCAAGACCATGAGACCCTCCGTCGGCCAAAACACACAGAGCATCCAAGTTTACCCTCCACAGGATGCACGAGAACATCCAACGAACACGAAGAACACGAGGGTATCCTCCCCGAACCGACCTCGATCTCATACCTCGGTCCGACTGTGCATCATTTTCGCGATCTGGTTTCTTCGGGCTCAGAGCGTCAAGAGCGCCCGAGGCCCACGAAAGACATCCAGAGGGCTGAGAACTCGGAGAGGGGCCGCGGGAGCCCTCCCTCCCCAAGATGGCCTCCTCCTCCTCCTCCTCCTCCTCCTCCTCCTCGTCCTCCTCCTCCTCCTCCTCCTTCTCCTCCTCCTCCTCCTCCGTCTTCTACTCCTCCTAAGCCCCCCAGGAGGCCCCAAGGAAGCCCCCAGACCTCCAAGAGGCCAGCAAGGGGACCCAAAAGAGGCGGATCTCACGAGGCATCTGAGAAGCCGCCCCCTGTCCACAACCAAGGCACGGTGGCGGCCTGGGACGGAGGCCACTAGATCCGCAGCCCCCTGTGGCTTGCCACAGGGGTGAACGGCGTGCCAAATCTTAGATAGTTTCTGGTTATTTTGAAAAGTTTCCAGTGGGCCTTCGGCCTAACCCGACGGCCATCTGGGGAGCCGCGTAAAGATCTGAACGCGCAAAAGAGAGCATTCCAAGACGGCCAAGATGGCCCAAGATGGCCGCTAAGATGCCTACAAGACGGCCAAGATGGCCCAAGATGGCCTCCAAGAGGGTCCCAAGACGCCTTCAAGACAGCCAAGATGGCCCCAAGACGGCCCAGGATGTCCTTCAGACGGCCCATGAACCCATGAAGCCCCTAAGACGCCCCAAGAGCGCTCCAAGCGGACCTCCAGGAGGCCAAAATCCGGAACTTCCCAACAAGGTATTTCAATGATTTCAGCGGTCTCGCCTTTTCGAGCTTCCGACCCTCTAAGACGGGCCCAAAAGCTCCCAAGATCGCTACAAGACGGCCCCAGAGACCGCAGAGAGGCCCATAAGACAGCCCAAGAGTGCCCCAGAACGGCCCGAGAGAACCCCAAGAAGGCCCCAAGATGGCCCGAAAGCGCCTGAAGAGGGACCCACGACTGCCCAGAGAGGGCCCCAAGACGGCCTCCGAAGGCGAGGTCCCATAGAGGCCCCCAGAGACTCCCAAGAGGCCCCCAAGAGGCCCCAGGAGACCCCCAAGAGGCCCCAGCAAGAGGGCCTCCAGAAGCCCCCTGTTCTTCATCCGCCTGCTTCTTCTCCTCCTCCTCCTCCTCCTCCTCTCCTCCTCCTCCTCCTCCTCCTCCTCCTCCTCCTCCTCTTTATCCTCCTCCTCCTCCTCCTCCTCCTCTCCTCCTCCTCCTCTCCTCCTCCTCCTCCTCTCTTCCTCCTCCTCCTCCTCGTCCTCCTCCTCCTCCTCATCATTTCTCCTCTCTCTCCTCCTCCTCCTCCTCCTCCTCCTCCTCCTCCTTCTTCTCCTCTTCCCCATTGTTCCCCCCAGGGGTTCCACGACGGCTGGGGGAAATTCATAGTCCAATAGCTTGGCCAGGCCTCGGCCCAACATTTGGTCGCATGCCATGCGCGTTTCCCATGTGCACGGGGCGGCGGTGATTCGCCATAGGCGTCTTCGATACAGCACGGGATGGTCACGTTCCGCCTCTGACGGGCATACTGGAAACACAAGCGTGAGCTAGCAACGAAGTGAGAACAAAGATGCAAGCTGAAGCCTGAGCAATTGCGAAAGCGCTAGGTAAATCTGAGGGTGACCAAGTGGCCTGCACCGCTCATAGCCAGCCAGAACCACTCCAAACCTGGTGCCGAATACACGCCCTCGCCCCGCTGAATTAGCGCGGCCAAGGGCCAGAAACTCATGCTTCATAGGGGTATGTGTTTACCAACGCCTTCACGGCGTGGACCGGGTGAATCAGCTTGCCACCCAAACCATTCCCTCTACCTCGTCCCCATCTCTGCTCAAACGCTCCGCTATTCAAACAATATCCCGATCCCATCTCCATCCACTCTCCGCCCAAGCCCTGGCTCTGCCAAGCGATTTCTAACGCGCACGGGAGAAATAGTCACTGTCGTGCGTCATCGACAGGCACACCAGATCCGGAGCGTCAACCTCGGGTGGCCATGGCTTCAGTCCAGCATCAATGTCCCCGGCCTTCGACTTGTACTCCTCTGGGGGGGGGGGGGGGGGCGGAGCCAAAGTAGAGGACAACCGCTGCACTCCAGTACGGGGATGAGCCAGCACGCCGAGGCCGCGGCCAAAGTCGGGACGCGGCTAAGAGCCCGCGGTCGGAGCCCTCGGACCCAATGTGATGCGACACTCCTCGGGCCAGATCAAACAGTGCAGGCCCCGGGGCACAAGAGCTGCGGCAACCAAAGCCTGCTGCGATTTGTCTGCGGCGCCCAGATGTCGGGGGCCCCTGGGCCCGCGAGCTTCGCAAGGACGGCTGGCAAGGAGAGGGAACAGGGAGGGGGAGGTCGGTCGGTCGGTCGAGGACCTCGAGCGACTCAGTCTGCTGAGCTCTGCAGGAAAGGGAGAGGGCAACAACAGCGACCTTTAAAACACACACTTTTTAGCCGGCGGCGCAGAGGAACCTCAGGCGCGGACGGCAGGTGGAGATGCCAATTGCGAACGAACTTAGTCGAACTCACCATGGAACAGGCCAGCCATGGCCATGCAGAAGGTGGTTGCTGAAAACGGGTGGTGTAGTGATGGGACTGTAAACACAGTAAACCCAAAAGCGTGCGGTGGCCAGAACCCGAGGAGTACGCAGAGCGAGCTCGACTCAAGGCGATCTGAAGCGCGGGCAGCCTGGTGCAAATTAAAGCAAATAATCCCTTTAAAACAAACACACACACACACACACACACACACACTGTATGTCGCAGCGCTGCCTACTGAAACATATCAGAGGAGGCGCTTGCCATCGCCGCTGCGCGATATCCTGCGCTGACCCCCCGCACAAGTGAAAACGTCTCGGCCGCCAACCAAGAGCGCGGGCCCAATTCACGGCAGCGGGCCGCGAATTGCGACCGCGGCTCCGCCGCCAAGGGGCGGCTCGAAGCGCCCTCCCATTGAGGGAGGACCCCTTCAAAAAACACACACACCTTTTTCGTCGACGGCTAAGCAGAGTCGTTGCGCTGGCGATGGGGCGTTTGTGGGATGCACGAAACGCGAATTGAGCCGCAGTGCACGGGGGAGGGAGAAGAGGCCCGGCGCGGGCAAGAGGGAGGGAGGAGCTGGGCCTGCTCAGAGGGGGCCGGCGGCGGCGGGCGGGGGAGCCGGGGACCAGCGGCGGCGGGGCAGCAGCAGGGAAAAGGAAGCCGGGGCAGCCGCCGAAGGCAAGCGCCCAGGGGGGGGGGGGGGGCGAAGGCCCAGCAGAGCTGGAGGCCCCCACATACACACACACACACACACACACACACACACACACACACACACAAACATATATATACACACACACGCACACACACACACACACGCACACACACACACACACACACACACACACACACACACACA